CGCGTCCATCGTGTGGAGCACGTCGGACCACCGCGCCACGCCGCTGCACAGCATGTGTTCCACCGAGACCTTCGGGTACCAGCCCGGCCCCACGTAGGGCAGCAGCGTCACGGGGGCATCGCGTCCCCGATTTTGCAGGTCCGCAAACGAGAGGTCTGCGAGGTGCCCGGGCCGCGCCGGCTCGATGTTGTCGGCCGGGCAGAAGATGGGCAGCGGGAACGGTGCGTTGACCAGCCCGTTCCTGCGGCAGCGCGCCACGTCCACGCCTTCGGGAGGTCCGCTGCCCGGGGCCCGCGCCTGGAACACTAACGGAGGCTGCTTGAAAAAGCGTACATACGCGTCGTAGACCGAGCGCGTGAACCGTGACTCCAGCGACGTGGGCTGCGTGCTTTCGGTCTGGGTCTTCATCTGGTGACACTCGAAGCAGAGCGCCTGGAAGCGCTGCTGCTGCCCGGCGAAGGCCTGCCGCACCGGCACGATGTGGTCGAACTCCGCGCACCGGCGCCGATCGGCTGCCCGCAGGCGGCACGCTTGCCTCCCTGCTCGGCCAGCAGCAGCTTCTTCTGCCGCTGGCTCGGGGTGATCCTCGGCGCCTTGACCAGCGTGGAGAAAGCCTCGAAGCTCAGCGGCTGGCCTCTGTCCGCGGTAGTCCAGCCCCAGCCCCTTGGCCCATGCCTGCAGCAGCTCCCAGTCCTCGGGCAGCTCACGGATCACGCACTGCTCGCCCTTGGCGCACAGCTTCAGGCTCGAGAACTGCGCAAGCGAGCGGAGCGTGACCTGCGGGTTGTGCTCCGCGAGCAGCAGCTGCCGCCTCGTCTCCCGTAGGTCCGTCGTGTGGAAGTGACCTGGCTTGATCTCGCCCTGCCACGGGCTCCAGTCCTCCAGCGGCGGCACGGTCTGCTTCGGGTCGCGCCGGTACACGACCAGCGCGCAGCCCATCTGCTCCAGCACCGGCCGGGCGTTCCGGTAGAAGAAGGCGTGCCCGTCGTAGTAGGTGAACACCACGGTCTTGGTCTCCCGTTGCGCGGGCTCGAAGCGGTCCAGGGGCTCGCCGGTGTTGGAGATGAGGACCATGGGCGCGTTGCGCCACGCGCAGACGGCTCGTATCTCCACCGGCGAGATGCCGTGCGCGCGCCAGTCGTGCTTTGCAAGGGCGTCGAAGTCTCCGCAGACCTCCTCGAAGGGCGCGCCAGGAGTTGAGCCAGCTGCGCATTCCAGGATACTGTTGAAGCACGGCAGCTGGTACGACACGCGGCGCAGGCCTCGCAGCCTCTGCCGCAGGATGGTTTCTACGTGTACGCGGCTGTTCCGGTATTGCGTCGCCTCCGAGGACACCACCCACTCCCCCTCCGGGTCGTAGAAGTACGTCTCGTCGCTGAGTTCCATGATGGGCGCCCTGCCGGCGCGGTCCTCGTCAACCGCAGCGTCTCCCGCTTGACGTTTTGCAGTATTTGCTGCTCCGACAGCCTGTCGGGCTGCCGGCTGGCCTCTCCACCCAGGACATTTGCGGGGAGCCAGTCCCTGCGCTCGTAAGCCCGGCCCGCGTTTTTGCCGGCCCGCGCACCCCTCTGATGATCACTGAAATGTGTGCTACGTGCTGCGAGCACTTGTTCTTGAAGAGCCTCCCTAGGTTCGTCAGCTGGTAGTCCTCCCGAGCATGCTAAAGTAGGCCTTTTCGGCCCTGGTAACGCTCCCGTCCGCGCGCTAGAGCACCCACCCAAACCAAACCCCACCCAACCCCCCCCCCCAAAACCACCCCCAACCCCCAACCCCCCCCCAAACCTCCCCTAACCACCCTCAAACCCCCAAACCCCCCAAACCCCCCCAAACGCCTCCCCCCCCAACCCCAAGTGCACCCTCCCCCAATGCATCCTCCCGCCAAGTGCATCCCCTGCCCCAAGTCTACATCCTCCCACTCAAGTGCGTCCCTGCCCCAAATATCCCTGCCCCAAGTGCCCCAAGTGTGCCCCCCTGCCCCAAGTGTGCCCCCCGCCCCAAGTGCGCGGGTGGCAGGGTTGAGAACCGGCGAGCACATGGCTGCCCTTCACATGGCTGAACTGGATGCTGGCCAAGAGGCCCCAAAAACAAAGCGGAGTCCGTGGCTGCGCCTCAGAGGGCTGGTTTGGCCAAGTGGACCTTCCGGGATCTGTGTGTGAACAAATCTGGGGGGACCCAGGGACTTTGAGAGCTCAAGGGAATCGGGAATCGGGGGGTGGATCCGGGAGGGTAGGGGACTTGGGGGACTTGGGGCACCCAGGCGACTCTGGTGGAGGGAGCCTAAGCAACTGGGGATCGTGGCGCCCTTTGCTTGCAACCCATCCATGAGACGCTTGGGGCCCTAGGCCTGTGAGGCTTGCTTGAAGACTTTCGGGACGTGGTGGAGCCGAAGTCAGCCTCCTTCAAGACCTTGTGAGTGAAGAGCTTCCAACAAACCTGTTGCCAGGCCGAAGCCCAAACATCTTCCCGGGGCGTGGTTGGCGAGTGACGAGCTTCATGCATCCAGGGGGCAGAGGAGCTGGGAAACATTGCGCTTGCGGTGGTTTCGGATTTGACGGATCAGCGCCCGCCATGCGAAATGTGTGAAAACATTTTTCTTGTAGCCTGGCCCAAAGAAGCGCTCAGAAGCAGCGCTGCCGACGGTCCACGCACACAGTGCAAAGTCGCGCTTTTAAATCCACATCGTATCGCAAACTAGTCACGAGGGAAACACTGCGCAGCCATGGGCGTGGAGACGACGAAGGGCAGGAGGAGCCGAGGCTGGTCAGCTTCAACTCGTGCTTGTTAGGACTCGTTGTCGTCAGGTGTTCGCTCCCGCATTCTCCTGACTGCAATCTCGTGGCTTTTCTTGCACACGGCCAAGACCTCGGCAGCATTGTTCCAGTGCTTTGGTTTGCTGGTTGTGGCCCCAGGTACATCTCTTCACCATCCCTCACGGGCGGATTTCACCGAGTCGCCCGGGCTGGAAGGACACTAGATTCCTGGCATCTTGGCTGTTTTGTGTGGTGCCGCCAGGATTCTTGCGGGCCACAGGTCCAGATCCCGGTGTCGCTGTGATGTTTTTCTGCTTGGATTTTCAGCTCTTGAGGTGACACGCTGGCACCCTGGGCGTGGCGGAGTTGCTTTGCGCGCCAGCCCGCAGGACGCTCCAATCACCAGTTGTACATTTGGCCAGTCGCAATCGCGCCAGGACAGCGACGCGGAGGCCGGGGGGCTCGCGCGCGCCAGGCTCGGTTGTTGGTGGGCGCTGGCAGGACTGGCTCGCCAAGAGCCGCGAGGAGGTGGAGGGCTTCTGTCGAACTGGGTCGAAGCCGTACTGCTGGATGCTGGGTTTGAAGCAGACGACATCACCGAAGTCACCCCCATTCTGCTGAAGCAGAAGGTGATCGGAGCGGCCCTACTGCAGCTGACACTGGAAGAGCTGATGCAGGATGGCGTTCCGCGTGGCCTGCCCTGATCAACATCCACAGAACCAGGAAATCCCAAGATTACATTTGTGCAGATTGCGGCGCTTCCTGTCGTTGGCAGGCTCGGTAGGGACCCCCCATGACCGGATGGTTGCCTTTCCTTGTTGGAGGTCGGTCATTCCTGCTGGTCGACATTGATTGAGACGTGCCGTTGATCGTTGTGAGTGATTTTGTGCTTGCCCCCAGCCTGCTTTTGAAAGAGCAAGACCTGCCCGTCTGCCGGGGAGAGGGAGGGCAAACTCTGATGTCTTTGCACCCATGGGGGTCCTTGCTGCTGCAGGCACAAGTGCATTCTATGAATGTTCTCTTTGATGCAGTGAGCTCAACCATTCCCGGCTTTGCATCCACTGGCAGTGTTCTTGCTCGATGTTTTGCCCGTTTTGCTGCCATTCCATCCCCGTTCTGTTGTTCATTTTTCTGCGTACCTGTTCATATCTGCCTGATTTGGTGCGAGTGTTTGGCGCAAAACTATCAAACAGTTGAGGGGGGAACCCGCAAATATTGAAGAGCCTGCTGTTCCAGTCGCCTGCCTTTTGAAGAGCAAGACCTACCCTTCTGCCATGGTCGTTGCTGCTGCAGACACAATGCAATCCGAAGGTTAAATTTTGTTCCGACAGCACGAGCATGGAGGAGATGGCTAAAGTGTGCACAATGTATTTCTGCTGCCGGGTGACGTTGAGACGTGCCGTTTGACGTTTTGTGTGGTTTTGATTTCCCCCGTGGAAATGCTTTCAGTGGGGCTGCCCTGATCACATCCACAGAACCTGAACGGGGTTCCTGGGAACTCAGTGGTTTTGCTCAGCGTGGAGCCCCACAAAAGGATTGTTGAGCTGAACCGCGCATCTCCCGCTTTGCTTTCATGGGCAGTGTTCCTGCTGGAAATTTGGTTTTGTTTCGGTTTTGGTACCCGTGTGTTCCTCGCTTTCCTAGTGCTCGGCTTTCGCACTAAGTACCCATGCTTCTTGATCTGTTGTGAATGGTTAGCGTTTTGCAAGAAACATGAGCCAGTGGGAAGGAACCTGCTAGCAATCGATTTTCTCACCAATTGCCGATGCGTGTTTGGTTTGTGATTGTTTGTCCTTCCCAGCATTCCCTCATGCGCCTCCCGCGCAGGTTGAGCTCCCTCGTTTTAGCGCCGCAGATCTCTTGGACTTCGAAGACCGCTTTTTGAATAGCCGAATCAACAACAAGGATGAGAGGCCGTTTCTAGAAAGGGAGGCGGTTGTTCGGAGTCTTGTGGAGCAAATAGAACAGATCCAAAGGAATGGGACCAACAAGCCGACGGTCTTGGCCTTGTGGAGCCCAAGGGGCACCGGCAAGACATCGCTTGTCCGACACCTGGCTTTGAAGGTCCCGAACTTCTCAGAAAGCCGAAGATGTGGGCGGCTTTTAGTGGTTGATGCGCGAGAGATTCCAAAGTCAGCGTTGCAGGAAGCTCCCAGTAGGATTGCTTCTGCAATTGTCGTGTGGCACCTGTCACAGTTGCTGTGCGGGTACAGCATCGAAGTGAGTGGGCTGGTGGTGAGTTTTAGGGGCATGGACTTCATTGCAGTGCTGGAGGCCCTCAAACGTACATCGGTACGACGTGAAATTGATATGTGCGACAGCTTCGAAGTTTGGCTTGGCTCATTTTGTCGAAAGAAGCAGGGCGTCTTCGAGCAGTGGCTGTTGGTGACGGCTGCAGCCTTCAACGCAACACCAGACTGCGCTTGCTTGGTGTTCCTCGATCAGGCAGAGCTGCTTGTGAATCATGAGGTCGAGGGACTGAGCCACCATGGTGGACAGAAATCAGCTTTCACCGAAATACTTGGCGAATTCCCGCAGAAGATGGGCATGTTTTCGGCAGGCACGGTGAATATCTTGACCGATAGGCCATCGGAGGAGTACACCTCGCTTAAGGTCCAGGAAGTACCGGCTCTGGCGCCATTGTCGCTGCAAGCCGCCGGACGGGCCATGGCAGAGTGGGGAGGCATGCAATACAAGAAGAAGGAATTCGACAACATTCACCTCTTCTCGGCTGGGGTACCCCGGCTTCTGGAGGCGGCTTTCCAGACCTGGGGTGAGTTGGCATCAACTGCTCAGGTTGCACTCAATGCCATGTCGCAGGAGTTCAGAAGCTCGTATGCGGATGCAGCCCCCTACTTCAATCAGCCAGAAGTGGCCTTGGCGTTGGTTCTTTGCTCGGCGGTTCGATGGCCTGCAGAAGGCCACCAGCTTGTGCCCGGAACCTCAGTGAGGTGGTCAGACATCTTCAGGGCCGGAGCAGCATTTCCAAACAACAAGTCCGTACTGGTTCCACGGCTGTGGTGGTGTGAGGATACCAATATCAAAGACGCCATCCGAAACGATTTGAAAGAGCTGAACATTGACCTGGAGGGGCTCCTGCCAGATTCCTTGCAGTTGCTCAACAGCCCAACAAGGGGTGCCACTGAAAGGGGGGAGAAGTGGGAAGAGCTGGTTGCAAATTCCCTGGCAGCGCGGTTCCGCCTTCACTGCATAGCAAGAAACCTGATTGCTGAAGTCCCTGGGTCCCTTTTTTGAAGATCTACCCTACGGAGGATCCACATTTGCGAGCTGTTTTGGAGCCTTTCGAAGTTTGCTGGAGTGATGGTGTGGAACATCCAAGCGGCCAAGGCAATGAAGCAACTGTCATGAGTGACGTTGGGAAGGCCATCAAGTCCAACCGGAATTTTGCAACGGCTCACCACGACCTTTTGATCCCCGTGAGATGCAAGGCAACTGGTAAGCTCGAGTTCATTGCTGCGCAATGTCGTTATGGACAGAAAAAGGATGCAGACGGCCTGAAGTTGCAGGACAAGGCGAAGAAGGACAACTTTGAGGAAATGCAAAATGTGTTGCTGCAGATTTGCAGTGAGTCTGAAGGCTGGCAGTCCTTTACAAACAAGACATGGGCCAGACGTCAGGAGGAGAAGAAATACTCTCTCATGAGTTGCGAGACTATCATTGCGCAGCTGGACGTGCTGAGGCTTTTGTGAGTGTACAAAAATCGCGCTAGCAGGTGGGAGCAGGGCGGACTTCAGGTCACAAGAGGCTTCACATGTTCCATGGGTGTCAGGCTTGCATCCACAAACTGAATGGCCGTTTTGGGCGGGGTCCAGGGATCGCTCTAAGGTCGAGATTCGCAAAATCGTGTTTGGGCTAAAACTTCTCTCCACAAGCTAAGGCATGTTGCTTCCGTCAAGTCTGCTCAAGAAGGTCAGCGGCCCGATCGCTTCTGGGCCGCCTGGGCCACAGGCAGTCGACCCGCTGCCTCACCGCAGCCGGTCTGCCCCGCCTCGTCAGTCGGCCCGCCGTGTTGCCGCTGCCCTGGGGCGCCGGCAGCGCCAGCTTCAGCAGGGTCTCCCGGCCACTCGGTGCTCCGGACGGTGATGGAGTCCACGGCCAGCAGCCCTCGGAAAGCCCCCGCGTCCTCCACGGCCTTGATGCGCCGGTCCGTGAGGTCCTTGTTTTGCTGGAACTTGTCGGCGTTGTCCTGCAGCAGCCGAAAACTCGGTGGCCGGCTGCTTCTCCACGTCCTCGGGGCGCCGTATACCGTCTTGTGTGGCCGGGTTGTAGGCCCCCGCGGCACGCTCAAAGTGGTCGCTCCACTGCCCGCTTTTGCGGGACATGCGTGTGGCCAGGTCCTTCTTCAGCGTCTGGATGCCCCGTTGCCGTGTCCTGGTCGGCAGCCGAGCGGTACGCCACCAGCGCCAAGGTGATCTGGTTGGTCGTGAAACGTCCTTCCGGGCCCGTCCGGTAGGCCAGCAGCGCGCCCGAGATGGCAGCCTGCGTCTGTGTGTCCTGCGCGCTTGCCGTCCGGTAGTCGGCCAACAGGGCGTCCACCTGCGCCGAGGTGTAGTAGGCCAGCAGCGCAGCCGAGATGGTGCTGGTCGTCTCGGCGTCCTGCGCCGTCCCCGTTCGGTAGTCGACCAACAGCGCGTCCACTTGCGCCGAGGTGTAGTAGGCCAGCAGCGCAGCTGCGCGGGCCGCGTCCGCTGCTGCGACGGAGTAGCAGTCGGCCGTGATGCTCAGCGTGTCGTCGCCGTTGGCCAGCGCAGCAGAGAGAGGAGGTTCGAGATGCAGGTTGCGAACGACGTTGCTTCCGCGAACGAGCTCCCAAGTCGTGAGCCCGCCCAGGCCGGCGCGTTAACAACTCCGCCTCCGGAAAGCTGCAGGGCGGCGAGCTCCGCGAGGATTGCGTCGAGGGCGCTCTGGAGCGTGGTCTCGCTGGCTGAGAGCGCGGCGTTCGTGGCGTACGAGGCCAGCAGCGTCGCGTCGGCCTTGGCCCCCTGGAGCGCCGTGATGCTGGCGTCCCGGCTAGCAAGCTGCGCTGCGACGAAGGCCTCGGTGGCGAGACCCAGCAGGGCATTTGCTATCTTGTGTCTACGTCCAGCGGCGTGTCCAACCCGTCCACCGTGGAGAGCAGGGAGGCCAGCGCGCTGGCGTCCGCCTTGCCGAGGAGGGCGGCGTCCAGGGCCGCCGTGGTGACTGCGCCCAGGAGGGCCGCCGCTATCTTAGAGTCCACTTCTGAGGAAGTGTCGACGGCAGACAGCAGGGCGTAAGCTGTCAGCGCGCTGGCGTCCGCCTTGGAGGCCTGCAGCCCCGCGATGGAGGCGTCTCTGCTTGCGAGCTCGGAGGCCAGCGCCGCGGCGGTGACGGCCCCCAGGAGAGCGTTGGCCACCTTGGTGTCCACCTCCAGCGGCGTGATCCTCGCCGCTATGTCTAGGGAGTGCTGGTCCACCACCGTCTTGAGGCCGTAGTTGGCCGCCACCGTGGCCAGCGTGGCGTTGTTGGCCGAGGCGATGGATCCGTTCATGGCCGCCGTGGTGCTGTAGTTGGACAGCTTCAGGTCCACGCCGTCCGGGGTGCTCTTCGTGGCCACCACGCCCTCCAGCACGTCGAAGGCCGACTGGTCTGCCTTGTTGGAGAGACCCGTGGTCAGCGAGCTCTGCAGCGCAGCGATCTTCCGTGCGCGGCCACCTGTCCGTCCGTGGTGGCCAGGGCCGCTGCCGTGGCCAGGGGCGCGATGGCCGGTGCCAGTGCGCTGCTGTCCAGCTTCGACGCCAGCTCTGCGGTGACCCGGTCGTCCAGGGACTGGATGGCGGCTGCGTTGTTGCCGGAGGCTGCCGTGTTCACCGCCAGGTCTGTTACTTGCGCGTAGGGCGTCAGAGCGAGGGCCAGCTGCCCTGCGGTGACGTGCGTACCGTCAGTTACCTCTCGTTGTCCAGGACCTCCGGGATGTTGCCGGTGACTGGTCCTTCAAACATCTTTACATATGTTTTCGCCGACGCCTTACCTAAGGCGTCGGCCAAGGAACTGACCGCTTCTTACTCCGCGCGGCTCAATTCCTGCCCGGACGGCGAGTTGGGTGGCGTTCTTTTTGCTGCCAGGCACGGTCTTGCCAAGGCCGGCATGCAGCTGAAGTATATGGGCAGTAAGTCATGGCTGGCTCCACACCTGCTGCTGGGCGACGTGTCGGTGCTGCACTCGCCCTTCTTCGGTTCCGGAAAGCTAGAGTGCGTTGTCGCTCTGCCAAGTAGCTTCCAGGTGGACCTATCAAGCCCCAATCAGCAGGCTCAGGGAATTCTGCACCAAATGCCTGCTAGTCCACCCTACTCCTGCGGGTTGCGCAATGCGGTGGCAAGCAAGTTGAACGACTGTTCGGAGTTCCTTCGCACGGCAGCAGCAGCCACTGCCCCCGAGCTGCGTGCGGCGGCTGCAGCTGCCACCGTCCAACGTGACCGTGCGGCACCAGAATGCGCTGGCCTATCTGCGAGCGCTGCTTGACGGAGACGCAACCCAAGGCTCACATGCAGCAAATGAGGCCAAGAGAATTCCAACCCAACCAACCTTCTGCTCTAAGTCACCGTTGCGCTTAGAAAGCACTTATCAGGCTTTTCGAGCCACAAAGCTCCGCAACAGAAACGCACTTACAAGGCCAGAAACAGCGCTTTAAGCCCGGGCAACTTAAACTTCCGAGACGCACAGAATGCGACTAGGACCCGTTTTGCCTGCATATTGAAGCAAGCGGAAAAACCTCGCAGAAGTGCAAGCAGAAGGGCTGTGGCCGCACCGCGCAACACCACCAAATTTTCGCAGAATCCACATTTGCTGAATGATAACCTCTGAGGATGCGCTGTGAGCGGTTTTAGATTTCACAAATAACAGAGAGAGCACTGTACGTCGGCGTGGACGTGGTGCGCTGCAGGCGCAACGGGCTGGCCAACGCCCCCTTCCCCCTGCCCATCCTGTGCCCGGCGGACGGCGTTGAGCCCGTGGACGGCGTGCTGCCGGACCTGGGCTTTGTGGAGGGCTGCTGCGACGCGAGGCAGTCCTGCCTGAGGGGGCCCGGCTGGTACCCGAAGGTTTCGCTGGCCGCGATGCTGGACCTGGGCGTCTGCCGCTGGGACCACATTGTGTTGGGCATCTCCGCGCGGAGCCACGTGGACGCGGCGACGCTGCGGCGCGCGCTGGAGCGCATGGACGCCGCCTGGCCCGAGGGCGAGGAGCACATGGCCAAGCTCAGCGTGAACGCGATGATAGGCCTGTGGGCGCGCAGCACGGAGGGGGTCTACAGCGTGCGCAGCAGCAGCAGCGAGCTGGACGGCGCGGGCGCGGACTTCTCTCAGGCCTTCGCCTACGAGGGGGGCATGGTGTGGGACTTCGTCTACGCCAGGAGGCTGCTGAGCAACGGCACCTACCGCCCCATCCACGACGCGGTGCTGGGCTTTGAGCACTGCATGGTGGCCAAGGCCCGGCGCATCCTGGACGCGCCGCCGCGCTACCTCGCGCAGGTGAAGACGGACTGCCTGCTGACGCAGCGGCTGCCGAAGCGCTTCGCGGAGCGGCTGCGGGCGCTGGAGGCGCTGCGCCACCCGGACGGCACGCCCGTCTACCGCGTGGAAGAGACGAAGCCGCTGCTGGGCAGCAGGGCGCCGCGCATGGAGGCGGAGCGCCCCAAACAGCGGAGGTGGAACGGGGTGGACGACCCTATAAGCCACTGCCTGGCGGGCAACTCCCTGCTGCTCACGGGCCTGCCGGGCACCGGAAAGACGCACCTGGCCCGGACCATTGTGGCGAGGCTGCGAGAGCAGGGCGAGGCGGCGCACCTCGTCTCAAAGACGCACTGCTCCGCGCAGAACCTGGGCCTGGGGGCGCAGACGGCCGACCACTGGGTGCGCAGGTACGTGCGCGGGGGCAGCGCGCAAAAGCTGGACTGGCTGGTGGTGGAGGAGATCACGCAGCTGGACATGGCGCTCTGGGCGGACCTGGCCTGCGTGGGGCTGAGCGCCGACGTGAAGTTCCTGCTGCTGGGAGACTTCCGGCAGTTGCCGGCCGTGCTGGACTCCTGGGCCGGGCGGCCCATCAGCGCGCCGTTGGAGCACAGCCAGCTCATCCGCGACCTGGCCGGCGGGCACAGGCACGAGCTCACGGAGAACATGCGCTCCGACCCCGGCATCTTCAACTTCGTGAAGTGGCTGCGGGTCGGCGAGGAGGCGTGCCCCACGCTGGAGCAGGCCAAGGCGAGGCTGAAGGAGCTCTACCCCTCCAAGCCCGGGTGGCCGGACACCACGCTGGTCATCAGCCACAGCAAGCGCATGGCCGTGAACGCAGCGGCGAACCGGGCCCTGGCGCCGGAGGCCTCAAAGCTCCTAGAGCTGGAGACACAGGTCATCCACATAGATTTGGGTTGTTGCCAAACAACCAATGAATATTGCCAAACTGCAACACCCCAAAACAGCCCGCAGAGCATGAGAGTTTGGCCGGGGCTGCGCCTCATCGGGGCCGGCGGAAAAATACCCAAGGGCGTCTTTGTGGCCGTGGCGGAAGTGGAGCCGGACGGAGTGAGGCTGGACAACGGCATGCGGCTGAAGAACCAGGAGCTGCTGCGGGCCACCCGGCCGAGCCACGCAGTTACCTACGCCAGCTGCCAGGGGCTCACCCTCCACAACCGCGTCCGCCTGGACCTGGAGTCCTGCCACCTCACGCTGCGCCA